CATATCACCAACCCTCTGTATTTGACATCTTCTAAAAGGAAAACCACATGAGCATTCATGACAGGTCAAGGTGCATGGTCTGTGATCTAAACGTTTATTTTGTTCTCTCTTATTTTTGCGATGCGTTTAATTTGCTTGTATATATGCAAATGCACACTTCAGTCATCGATGAACAAGTTGTAGTGTCTGTTTACAGCAAAAAGTATATTTATCTATCAAGTACTTTCTTTTTTTGGTTTTTTTTTTTTTTTAATGCTCAAAAAGCCTCCGTTCTGATGTTTGCTTGTCGCAGACACATTTTATGAAAAATCTTTTCCTTAGGATTTTGCCTCCTGAGAAGCTGAGAGGCCTCAGGAACAACATGTAAACAATGATTATCTGCTGCTGTGCAATGAAACAGGTTCATCTGTGATTGGTATCATGTGGTTGTTTGTAATTAATGGCCAATCACAGTCAGCTGGCTCAGACTCTCTGTCCAAGACACAAGCCTTTGTTATTAATTCTTTCCTTTTCTATTCTTAGCTAGCCTTCTGATGAAATCCTTTCTTCTATTATTTTAGTATAGTTTTAATATAATATTTATCATAAAATAATAAATAAAGCCTTCTGAAACATGGAGTCAGATCCTCGTCTCTTCCCTCATCCTAAGACCCCTGCAAACACCATCACATTTGCTGAAAACCATTTTGGGATTTTTTGAAATTTCATCATCTAGTTAGGCTTTCTCTTTTCAGTATAACATAGTAACTTAAATATTATGTTAATAATAATACATATATAATATAATAATAAAATATTTAATACTTCAGTATAACTTAAGAAAACCTTTCTGAACGGGATATATGTATCTGAGGGGAACAAAGGTTCTCTAAATCTCTAGGGTAACAGTTTTGACCTCTTTGGCATATGCAATGCTAACCTTCTTTGGTTCTTATTCTGCCAGGCCTCTCTTAGTGTATGTGAATCATTAGACAGTAGGCAGCGGGGTTAGAAGTATACAAATATATATATTTATTTAGGGAGCTGAATGTCAAACAGTTCCCTGCTCTTAATAGCTGATGATTTTACAAGTCAAACACTTTCCTTGTGCTGTCACTCTGGTTTGGGTTTCACACGAGATCGTCTTGGCACTTGCAGTCTTGGCAGGCAGGCTGTGTGCTCTCCTCTTCCTCTTCTGCTGATGTGCCTTCAGCCTACTGATCTGTGGAAGGGAAAGCAGCCATCAGAGGGAAATCCTCATCTTCAGTGCTGCAGTCACTAACTTCTCCAGACATCTCCACCGCCGCTTCTCTTTCCTCTCTGTACTCGCGGTGGCCCATGAAGTACTGGTTGGTGTTGTGGGGCGTGCACATCCCTGGCAGCCGGTATCCTGCCAGGTTCATGGGCCGCAGGCGCGCTCTTGCCTCTCGCCGAATTGCTGCTGGCAGATGTGAGGCTGTGATCCAGCAGCCCTTCTTTGCGTTCCAGAGCAGCTCGCTCTTTTCATCACTGCCGCTCTGCTCACCTGCCTGGTCTTGCTGGAGTGGCTCAGTGCATTGTAGTGGTTGCTGCTTCCAATTCCTGCTGCACTTGTGATCCTGCCACTGTGCCTTCCCAGGCTGCTTCTGCTGCAGTCCATGCACAGGATCATTGTGCTGGCCACCATGTCTCTCACAGCCATTTGAGGACGATGCACAGGGGTTCTGCTCCATGAGGTCCTTCTCTCTTTTCTGTTGCCCTCGCTGACTGTCTCCGTTAACGTGCCTTCTGACCCTGTGCTTCCATTCCTGCTGTTGCCTCCTGCCCCTGCCAGCCCTGTTGCTATACAGGAGCACAATGAGCATGTCTTTTGCCTGTACTTGGTGGCCCTGCCTTGGTCTCTTGTCCCTGTCCTGACCTTGCTGTACCCTCTAGCACTGCCCAGCAGTGACAGCAGCCAGCAGCAGGGCACGGCTGGGGGAGCGGTACGGGGGTTGGCTTTCGCTCCAGCTGCGGCCTGGTCCGGCAGCCATGGCCCCATGGGGGGTGCTTACCTGGCAAGCTGGTGAGGGAGCCTGTCCATGATGTCACCCTGCTGTCCTGCAGAGGCTCTTTGTGTGGGCACCCTGTGACAGACTGCCATGCCACCCTGCCTGGAGGAGCCAGAGGTGCTTGGCGGTGACATGGAGCTGGTGCCAAGGGCACAGTCCATCAGTCAGTAGAGGCCCCTCCCAAGTGGGCCCTGCAGGCCCGGGCCAGGCCTCGCTGGAACAAATCCAATCTCTGGCCCTGATACCATCACCAGCCCCGATACCATCACCTACCCTGCTCTGTGCTTCCCTCCAAACACCTTGTGGCACTGAGGGAAAGGTGTCCTGGGCACCTGGTAAAGAAGGGTGTGGGGAGCTAAGTAGCTGTTAGGAGTTGGAAAATCAGCACCTTCAAAAAGCCTTTCTCACCCTCCTGTCTCAAAATTCTGTATCCAGCCCTTATATCAGCTGTTGAATGAATTCCTACTTTTTCAGTGTGGAAGGTGGAAAGACAGATACCAGGCTTATCTCAAGATTAATTTTCTATGTGCAGCATATTGGCATAACACCAGGTACTATTTGTAGCATCCTTCTTGTTGGCTTTTTGTGATACAGAATAAAAACTGATAAATCATAGAAGCACTGAATGGTTGGCCTGGGAGGAATCTTAAAGATCATCTAGTTCCAACCTCCCTGCCACCCTGCCATGGGCAGACACATCTCCCACTAGACCAGGCTTCTCAAAAACCCCAGCCAGGCCTTGAACACTGCCAGGGATGGGACTAAATAAAATAAAAACTTTTTTTTTTTTAGTGTGTTTGTTATGGTTAGAGAAAAAGCTTTATAGATGACAGCTATGTTGAAGAAAAGAGTGTCCTCATTCTCACCACACAAAAATAAGGATGGGGATTTTGGGGCTGTGTTTGTCTTTGGAAGTTTGCACAATTTGTGTTGCTGGGAATAGGTGGGTATTTATTATTTTAGGCTCCCTGTCCTTCCACTGATACTGTCAGACCAGGCTTATTGTTTCATAGTAAGTGATGCATTTATACTATTTAGACCAGAAACTCTGTTTGTCATTTGTTGAGAGATATCATCAAGCACTCTGAATTTTTGTACTTAATGCTTAGAGAGATTATCTGTATAGTATCACGCCCTGCAACATAAATTCTTTGGATGTCATTTATAGTCTACTAATTTAAATGCAAAAAAATATGTAATTCAAGAAAATTATAAAATAATCGTTTGCAATATGCTATGAATATTGCAATATGCTAAGAATATTTTCCTCTTCTTTTTTTTTCCAAATTCTAGGTTGATTTAAAAACCACAAACAAAGTACCAAAGCCAACCAAACAACCCCCTCAGCAAAAACAAAAGCAAAAATATTTCACATAATCTTCCTTTGTTTTTATCATCAAAGAGTTCCATTCCTTCTGCTTTTGTTCAAGATGAAAGGGAAAAAAATGTGCATAGGGTCAAGTTTACCGAACAAGTAAAAACAAGTCTCATCTACCCTTAGTATCAGGCTTTGGTATGATTTCAAGTGTCGCTATTCATCAACACACGATGGCAGTAGCAGTCCATGAAATGATTAGTTGATGCTGTACATGAATGAAACTAAATCTGCCTAAGGCCTTTTTTTCTAGAGATAGCTATAGTCTTTGCTTATGAATATTGACAGTTCTGAGGCCAGCTCCACAAAGAAATAAAAAAAAAAAAAAAAGAAAAAGAAAAAAAGAGGAAGGTTCACAGTCTTTTCTTGATCAAGGCAACCCTAGATATTATCCCAGGTACAGTTTATGATCCCAAACTCCATGTAAGAAGCAGCAGATTAGTGCTTTCATTAACCACAATGACTTTCTGGAAAGCTTACTGGCTTATAATGTTAATTATAGCAGGTTCTACAGTCATTCTTTATCTCCTGGTCATTTTGGGGATCTCCTCAAATCAAAGATTTCTCTAGCAGCCCATTTAGCTAATAAGACTCCCTTATCTGTGATCAATTTTGACTGAGCTATCAAAGGTGCTTACTGGAGAGCCATATTGACTAAGCATTTACAATTTTTTTCAAACTACATTGCCACTTTGGTTTTATTCTATCAAGAGAAATTCTTTTAGACATGTGGCTTAATCCTCACAGTTATGAGTTTGATTTAATGCCATTACATGCCTCCCTGTTGAACCCTGATAGCTTCAGCATTTCTGCGGAACATGTCTTCATGTATTTACTTTCAGGTGAGATATTCACTAGAAAATAGACATTTAACATCAACTCCCTGTAACTTAAAGTAATTACATGGTTGAGATTCTCGTGGCTCTCGTGGCTCTCGTGAGTCTGTGGCTGAAGGAGTATTTGTACTGGTCAGTGGATTGTGCTGCTGAGGTAAGCCTGTATGTTTCCCAGCTCCAGAAGCCAGCAGCAGAAATAGCTGCGGCACTCCAAGAAGCCTAAGTTAAGCCTAAGTTAACGGGATTTACCAACAATCTCAAAAGCATTACAAAGATAAATTATTGCTGCAAAAATATAGCTAGATTATGGGAGAGTAATCTGAAGGAAAGATTCTGTTTTCTGACGAAAACATGTTTTTTGGAATATTGCTAATACTTTTCCAAAATAAAGGGATCTTTAAGGAAATAAGTAGAAAATTAGATGTATCTCTGAGAGAATAATATTTAATTAAAATAAAACCCAGTAAATAATCAATTGTGTACACAATTTTATTTTTATTTGTTTACCGTATAATAGTTAGACTTTAATATGTAAAAATTATTTAAATTTAGAATTCATACATTGCATCTGAACAATTCAGCAAAAAATTTTGTATTTGCATTGTTTTTGTAGTAAAGTATTTTTCTTGATATTGCTAAATAACTTGCAGTTGGGTAGATAATGGATTTTTCTTTTAGCATTTCATAATCTTCTCAGCATCTCAGTAATAAATTCCAATATTAACAGAAATATTTCCCAAATAAATGATGTTTGTAAAAATTCATCTAGGTTGATGTAGCTTAGATGAGGTTACCAACTGGCAAGCGGGGTAGACACATGTAAGCATAAGGTGTTTTGCTCAGGTTGATGGGATTGCCATCCAGCCTGATGTCTTCAAGAGCCCTACGCACATAAGTAAAATCTCTCCTTTTGCAGAAAGTATCTTCATGCATCTCTTGAATGTTGTTGTTCTAAAAGAAAACAAGCAAACAGCAAAGAAACTATCAGAATAGTTACCTGAAAGTAATTTTTTATTCTGAAACACAATTTATGGATGTGTTTTCAGTGTGTAGAGAGATACTTGCTTGAACTCAAGGGCCCAGATTGTGGCAGCAAGTCATCAACAGAGAAATCTTCCAAGAATGGGAAAATTTCTTGGCCAATGCAAAACTTCAGAACTAAGTAACTCAAACCATGTAGCAGCGACAGGCTTTGAAGGAGGAGGCTGGTAGAAGTATAGAGCATTTTCATTTCCAGATTATAGTGAAGAGCCATATTAAGACAAATTTGATCCACGATAGGCCAGTCCAAAAATCACAGAAACATAATTATCATCCTGACATCTTAATATGCCTTAACCTGCAAAGGTACAACTCTGTAATTTGACCTGTGACAATTTCTTTCCCCCCGGCTCTCTCCCATTAGTTTTACTCACACCTGTATATGTACTGGCAAAATTGAATGCATGTGGTTTTATTCCTTTGATTTAAATTGCTCTTACATGCCTTATATTCACTGAGCTTCCATTCTTGAAGCGAACCATTCTCAACCATGAATTGTTGGAATACAGCATTGTCAGAAAACTGGGACTAAAAAACTCATTACCTAAAAGGAGGGCTGAAAATTGTTCTCTTCATTCCTTTGCTAGTCAAAAATTGGTGTGGACAAAGTCCTGCTCACTAAGTGTTTTCTGTAGCACATAGCACTGAATATTTAATTTACAGGCACAAACAGGTGAAAAGGAAGTCAGCTAGCAGGCAGAGAGTTTTGATAAATTTACTTACTGAAAGATGGAGGTTAAATGATGTGAGGCACATTACATTGCTTACTGAAAGGTTTTTTCTGTATGATGTAATTTGTAAAAACATCTGATAAACAAAACTGTAAATTGGTACAAGATGAGATAAAGGGAAAGAAGCAGAGCTGGAAAAGGTTAAAAGGAAGTATTCAGAAAGAAACTCTTAGGTCATAGTAACTCTAGAATTTGATTTTTGAAAAATATTTTATTAAAAATTCTGAAAATTAAGGCTTAGTAGAGCTAAATTTTACTTCTCTAAAAGACTTGCAATCACTAGTTAATTTTGTTTCCCATAGCTTGTTTAGTCAAGTAAGAACACTTTTTGATAAAAAGAAGAAACACTACAAGACAAATATTTGCCCTTCTGAGTTGTGCATGTGCTTTGAGCATGATATAAAGAGCCATTTCTTTTGTAGCCTACCTGAAGATGAAGAGCTTGGAGGCTTTCAGGGAGCGGCAAGGGAATGTGATCCAAGTTATTGTCAGTGATATAAAGATGCTGCAGTTCATCCAGATTCTAGAAGAATATGGAAGAAAACAGGGGAAATGAGAGATATATTTGAAAATCTCTGCCAAGTAAGTTTGAAATCTATCACTGCAATGAACACCACCAGATAGCAGAACATTTTGTTTCAGCATGATATGGTGAAAAGACAGAAATTCAAAGACAGTAATGAACTCTGATTTGCATAGGCTGAGAATGTTGCTGATAAGGGATAGGTGTTCAGATTAAAATGAAGAGGAAAATGTTTTTCAAAAATCTACAGAATTATTAAAGATATAATTTTAATGATGATGCTGCTACCTTTCTTTTGTGACAAGACTACTCAATTTTGCAAAAGTGTATTATATTGAAGTGAATTATAATTGTATAAGAAATGCCTGAGTTAAAAATACATTTCTCATTCTTTTCAAAAGGTAAATAATTTTCTCCCTTGACTTGTTGGAGGAATGAGTGCCGAGAAATCTGGCAGATACCATAGAGGTTGCTCACAGTGGTCTTTGAAAGGCCACAGGGATCAGAAGTGCCTGAGGACTGGAGGTAAGCCAGTGTCACCCCTATCTACCCCTAAAAAGAACAAGGTGGATCTAGGGAACAACCTTTCAGTCAGCTTCCTCTCCATCCCTAGAAAGGTTATGGAGTGCCTCATTCCAGAATCCATCTTCATCCCCAGGGATGTTAAGAAGGTGATCAGGATTAGCCAGCATGGAATCACTAAAGGTAAATCATGCTTGACCAACCTGATTGCTTTTTAAAATGAAACTACCAGAATGGATGAGGGGAAAACACTGAATATTTTCTACCCTGACTTCAGCAAGGCTTTCAACACTTTCTCTCCTACTATTCTCTTAGCAAACTCAGGAAGTGTGGACTGGAAGAGTGGAAAGTGAGGTGGATTGAGAACTGAGTGAATGGCAGATCCCAGAAGGACATAATAATCAATGGCACAGTCCAGTGGGATGTCTGCCACTAATGCTGTCCCTCGAGGTTCAGTGCTGGGCCCAGTATTGTTTAACATGTTAATCAATGACTTGAGTGGAAGGACAGATGCCTCCTCAGCAAGTTCACTGATGACACAAAGCTGGGAGCAGTGGCTGATACCTCAGAAGGATGTGCAGCTCTCCAGAAGGACCCGAATATGTTGGAGAAATAGGATGAGAAGAACTGTCTGAAATTCAGCAAATGCAGTGTCCTGCACCTGGTAAATATTAACCAGCAGTACAGACTGGGGGGCGATCTGCTGGAAAGCAGCTCTACAGAGAAGGTCCTGGGAGTCCTGATGGACAACAAGCTGTCAATGAGCCACCAGTACCTTTGTGGCCAAGAAGACCAATGGAGACCTGGGGTACATTAGGAAGAGCATTCCAGCAAGTCAAGGGAGGTGATCCTGCCCCTCTGCTCAGCCCTGGTGAGGGACATCTGGGGTGCTGTGTCCATTTCTGGGCTCCTCAGGACAAGAAAGAGACATGGAGCTCCTTGAGCGGGTCTATTTGAGGGCTACAAAGATGATTGGAGGACTGGAGCATCTCTCTTATGAAGAATAGGCTGCACTTCACTCTCCACATCCTCTGGAGAGAGGAAGAAAATGTTTTCCCATCACACCCAAACTTACTTTAAATGCCTCATTTGGTATCCCTCTGCGACCAAGTCTGTTCTTACTAACATCAATGAATGTTAAGGTAGATGGTAATTCAGGCAGTTGCCTTATCCTATTGTCACGGAGCACCAGCTCCTGAAGTTGGGGCAATCTTCGGAAGGCATCTTTGTGGATATCTGATATGAAGTTTGCAGTCAAATCAATCCTCTTCAAATGGTCTGGCAGAGAAAGAGGATACAACAGATTTATAAGAATGTATTTCCTGAAATTTAAAGAAAACCCTGCCTGTATCATTCTTTATACATCTTTCAGTGAAAGACTTCAAAGTTTAAAGATTTCTGTGTGTTTTGGGAACCTTATAAATTATTGTCTTTTGAAAAATGACACTTAATATATCACTATATTTCTGATTGATACATGCCAGAAATAATCAAAATTAAAGCTAATTTCAATAATGCTTCTATCCATACTTAAGTTTGCAAAGTCATTTCTGCTGATCTTCTTGATTCTGTTATAGCGTGAGTAGAAATAGGTGGTTTTCTTAGGCAATGGTGGAACAGCATGAAGCTCACGATCATCACAGTAGACTGTGGTCCCTAGGCATGTACACAAAAGGCACGTGGGAAGACCTGTCAAGGAATTTAAAAGAAAACACTTTGTTAGAAAGGACATGAATAAAAGTCATACGTAAATTACTACAATGAAATGCTCACATAAGCACCTAATCATCAGTCTTTGTCTATGATAAAGTTCACTTCCAATTCTGCTTTGATTAGGCAATCATATAATTGCAACACTAAAGTGATTAAATTATTTTTAAAATTAATTTATTTTTCGTCCTGTGCCTAGAAGAGCAATTAACTTGTTCTAATAAATTGTTTCTGAGACTATAATAGACTATTTGGTGACAGTAACCAGCCGGAAGTTGATTTCCCCTTAAGCTAGCAGGTGTATACTTCTGTCTAGATGGAGGAATGGTAGCTGATGAATGATCTTTTCTACCTAATCTGTCTCTCTGACACTCTCTTTCTCTCCTCCCCTTCCCTTTTTATATTTCTTTCTACATCTCTCTCTCCCCCCCTCACATTTACTAATATATAAAATTCATCCTATTGACTTTGGCATATGGTCTCATTTACTCCTTTATTCAGGCAGAGGCATCCCTCTAACAATTTTAATATTGGATTGTAACACTTGTGACACTGACTTTTTGATACATCTTTTTTGAGTATATTATGAATATACATTGTGAATATAAATCAGCATATCTGTTTATCAACTTTTAATCTCATAGAAATACTTTTCTGTTTCATGGTTTCCTCCTCCTTGTGGCAGATGGGGTGGTTTGGTCTTGTTATTTATAGAATAGTAGGATAATGCAGGAATATGAAAATGTTTTCCTTGCAGATTAGTTTCTTCTCCAGGTCAGATGTGGCTACATGAGAGATGTGCCTTCTTAATCTGCCCCAATTACCTGTAGATTATTGAGGTGTCTTTTGAGGCAAGATTAAAGAATCAATAGGCAGAGTACTCTTTTATTTTTATGTGATAATCACTACTTGGACATCCAGGAATACAATTTCCCTAGAGATAAGGATCTTTTCATGCTTTCCCTAACTTTCTTCACAGGACAGATTAAATTGGCTGCAGAGAGTAGGCCTGATACAGCAAAAAAAATATTCACACCTTGAACTATTCTGGCAAATCAGGGCCTAAATGAATATTGAGTTAAGGATGGCTGACATTTTTTCATAATATTGCAACATAGCACCATAGTATGGGAAAAGGCTTTCACCCTGTCCTATTTTTGATCTTGGAGGAGTGGTATTTTTTCACGTATGTCTGGTGGACACTGAAAAAAAAACAGAGGTAGGGGAAGAATACAAAAATATATCAAGAAAAAAATGAGCTTGGCTTAATGTTACTGAGCCTTGTAGTCTTTTATTCAGCACCAGGTCAATAGCAGCAACATCTGACAGGAAAATATGTTGCTAAAATAAAGACAAAAGAGAAATCTGATTTGATACATTACCGTGTTGAGCATTTCTTTAGTTGATGCACTAATTTATTTGCATTCAGTACTCAAAAATGTTGACAGACACAGAATTCATCATATAGAATATTTATAGGATATAATGTAAAATCTTCTAATTTTCAAATTTGAAAAAAAAAAAGTGTGGGCTTTTTTTTTTTCCCCTAGAATTTCCTTGGAAGTTCTCATTTCATTTTTATTTGTTTTGACAGTGTATATTTTTGCCTGGTCAAGATCACTTGTAGTATGTACCAAAATAAGACTATGAATGATTAACTTCACTGAATACACAATTTTGGAAGCAGGAACTCTGGGTTTTATGTTTGGGGTTGTTTTTTTTAAAATTAATTTTTCTTCTATGTAACTCAGCTGTAGTGTTGGGTATAGTAGAAAATAGTATTTTCCTGTTACTGTATGTTGATCACCATACAACACAAAGATTCCTCACAGAAATTGATAACTCTAGTGGACTTTACCTACTGTAATTTAGAGGAGCTTCTGACAAATGCCAAAAATTAGTAGTGCAAAATTTTTGTGGGAGAGGGACAGACTGTGTTTTGCAATTTTAATTCTCCTGCAAGATTTATAAAGTTCTTATTTCACTATTGATAGTCAGAAGAACTGAAAAATGTCTCCACTAAAAAGTTCTAAGTAGCTCTCTTTCCTTAAGTTTTTCAGTTTATAACTTTCATGGTCAAAAATTCTTCAACATTTTAATTATACTTTGTATTAACACATTTATAAAAAACATGCAACAAATCATTATAAGTAAAGACAGTTGATAATGATATTGAAATCTAAGACAAAAAGACAAGTACTGGTAGCATTGCCAACCATCAGCAAATTTTCAAGTTGTAAATCTTCTGGAACAAGTGGCACAGTTGTTTTCATAGTGAAGTAGCATGGAGACTTTTAGAGACTAGGCACCTATCTGACTTTGGAGGAGGATTCCATATGGATTCTTTCTTCAGTAATAAAGTACATACAGAAACTATGTACTTCATTTTCAGTAAAAAAGAAAATAAAATGGGCTTGCTCAAAATCAACACTACACACAAAAACGTTTCTCTTTCATACTAACCATCTTGAGTCTGGGGTCCAAGAACCCCTGACCCCTGCGCTGAAGACCCATCAATTAATTTTGGTGTAGATGCTTCATCCTCAGTTTCTTCTGTCAATGGTGCAGAAGAATAACTCTCTTGAATTGCAGACAGTAGTTTTATCCCAATATCTGTCTAGGAAAATTAAAAGGAATTGTTACTGTTTACTACCCTTGGAAGCTGTTTGTCTTGCAGTTATTCATATTCTTCCACTAGAGGTCAGATATTTTCTGAGATTTAGTGCTGGAGCTGCATTTTATCTGGAGCTGCATTTTATCTGGAGCTATAATGAATTCTGATGATTTATAAATAATTCATGAAAATCCAACATACTTGTTCACTTTTTGTCTGTGTTTTGAGTTTTTTACTGTATGAACACATGCATATACTTCATTACTGAGAAGACATACTAGAAAAATTATTTTTCCATATTTATTTAAAGATAAATTAGATTTGTGATAAAAATTGATAAACTGTATGTAAAAAATGAAAATTTGCTATTAAATATCAAAAAGGTGCAAGTCATTTAGCATAAAATTGTAAATTGTACCATCATAAATTGAAATCCAATACAGGTGTTCAGGCTCTGCTTAGAACACTAACATGATTTTAAAATATTACTTAATAATTCTGAACATGATTTAAAAATATTACTAAATAATTCTGAACTTCAACTTCACATAACTTTCTAATATGTTAAAGACTCTGGTTAACTTCATTCATTAGTAGCTGTATTATGTAGTATGAAAAAATTGATATATTGGATAAAACCTTGGTTTTAAAACACATAAAATTTGGAAGATCCTTGCATAGAACTAGAAAACTTATTATTTTGTCCTTCAATCAACATAACTAATCAAAGCATTTAATTCTGTCAGGTTAACTCTAATTCTAAAAGTACATTCTGTTGATTTTCTTATATGACAATTCAGGATAAAAATTAAGATATAGCAATTTTCTTGTTTCACATCACCTCTCATAAAAAGAGTATTGCAGACTTGTCAGGCTTGTTGCAGAGGGGGTCTGTGTTATCAGAGGCAGAGTTGTTTTCTGTAATCACCCAGACAGCTGTGTTATCTTTGCAAGTTACTTTCCCAGTGTATCTTCATTTCCCCATGTGTAATAATATTGTTCAGCTGAGCCAGAGCCCCTTTTGAAAGTGCACTCTATTCTTTAAATCTAAAACAATTATTTAGTATATTATAGGGTTTTGCTCATCAGAGGTGCTGTTAAAAATGTAGGTAATTGTGGAGACCCTGGGGGCATCCCCTAGTTTAGGGGTTCAGAAGACTCTTCTCCCAAGGAGCTGTTAAGACCCCATTGGCTCCTACCCCTGTTCCTATGTCCCTGAGCCATTCCCTCCCTATTCCCTGATTTGCCCTCATCTTTGTACTGTAAACCAGGTTCACCTCCTGCCCCTGGGATAGAGAGAAACCTGGACCCTCCCTGTGTATGCCTGGGACCTGAACATCTTACCAGGTGGCTGAATAAAGCATCTGTGGATACCATGCAAAGGCCCTTTTTGCTTCCTTGCTCTGGACTTTATTAGCAGTAATTCAGGCTGCAATAGGTAATGCATTTAACCCTGCAGGTGCTGCACCCCTGTGCTGCATTTAGCACTCCTTATCTTTTTCTAAGACACAGCCAAATACAGAAACTTTGTTACAGTATCATTATTCCAAGTGCAAAGGCACCAAAGCCCAAAATTCTGCTTCAGTTTTCATCCACTGCAGCTTTCTAGCACAACACCACCACAAAACTACTGAATCCCGAGTCTTTAACCTGACCAAGCATCTCCTTTTTTTGACACCATCCCACTGCTTTCTTTGCTGTCTTCATGAAGAACCAGTTGTTGAAATCCATCACAGTAGTGTTCATAAATTATAATTGTAAAACACAGGTAAAAACTAATTGACTGGCCAAATAGTTAGAATTTTTAAAATTTGGTTTTGTATGTAGACTATAGAAGTTAAAGGAACTAAAACACCTAACATCTGGATTCCAAGCACAGGCAAATCTTTGCTGTATTTGATCCCTACTTGAATCTCTTTCTATGTGTATATATATTTAACGTGTAACCAGCAGCTCAAGGGCTGTGATTCTGCCCTTCTACTCTGTACTTGTGGGACCCCACCTGCCGTACTGGATCCGGCACTGGAGTCTCCAGCACAAGGAGGACATGGGCTTGTGTGGAGCAAGTCCAGAGGAGAGCCAAGAAGATGAAGACAGACTGAGAGAGTTGAGGTTGTCCAGTCCAGAGAAAAGTAGCTTTTCAGTGCCTAAAGGGGACCTACAAGAAAGCTGGAGAGAGACCTTTTAGATGGACATGTAGTGATAGGACAAGGGGGAATGGCTTGAAGCTGAAACTTTTATATATTATTAAATTCTTTACTGTGAGGGTGGTGAGGCACTGGAAATGGTTGCTCAGAGGACTTATGGAGTCCCTTGCTCAAGGCAAGGTTGGATGGGGCTTTGAGCAACCTGGGCTAGTTCAAAGTGTCCCAGTCTATGGCAGGGGGGGTGGAAGTTGAAGATCTTGGTCTCTTCCAACACAAACAATTCTATGATTCTATGAACTGTGAAAATTTCATAAAAAGAAAAACAAAAACCTTTACATCTCATAATAGATTTTCTTGCAGCATAGATATGTATAATTACAGGCAGTATTAAGCATTATGATCCTGGATTGCCTTACAACATCTAAATAACTACCTAAAATCTATATTTTTGAACATAAATAATTTCGTTTGGGTTATATAATGGCAATAGGTTCAAATATTTTACATCAATTAGTTTCACTGAAGACAGAGAACATGAAAGCAATAAAAAACCAGTAAGCACTCTGAACCACACAGGCTCAGATTTTGACTAAGAATATTTTAGGTTTTCTATATATTCTTTTTTTGTATTCTACTAAGCCACAGATGCTATTACTAATTAGAGTTTATGGATAAAAATGCCCCAAACAGTTGCAAATTTCACAAAATGCAAGGTAATCAAATGATCAAGATGACCTTCAGCTGAACTGAGTAACTTGAGTTGATGAAGTAAGAGTAAGGATGTACCTTGTCCTTCTGTGCAGACAAATACACAATGTTACCATCTGCAGCACTGACAGTAGACAGCTTAACCAGGAATGGACTTGGGGACAAATCAAAAGATTTTGGGAACAAAGGAAATGGGACAGATGTTCTCCGAATGGAGGAAGCCTAGAGGGAGAGATACATTCCAGACTTTTATTGACCCAGGTTAGTGCTGCACTAAAGTTCTTGCACATGCTGTCTACTTCTTCAGCAGACTTGTGGAAATCAGATAAGAATCCCTCTTCTGAACTTCAGAATTAAATCCAGAGATTTAAGATCTGTAAATGTCTTTATATACAACTTTTCTTCTACTGAAAGTAATATTCTGTAGAAGAGTATTTTCAAGATAGACTTTTTGAATAGGCTTCAGACCAAAGATAATTTTCCTTTCACTTGTTACGGGGTTTGGGTCATCTACACTGACTGCCACTTCTCTGCATATTTGGGACATGCTTTATGGAACTTACTATCTTGGGATTTGTTATTTACTTTATGCTTTCTGAGGGTTCTTAGTTGATTAATCACTGCAGCTGTTGGGTAGCAAAGTGGAGGTGTTAACCTCTAGTACTTCCATATCCATACACTATTATCTCTTTCTTACTGTAGGATGTTACCTAGATTTGAAGATACACAGTTGAAAGTCTCCCAGCAGTTTCCCTGCAAATGCACTATGTCTGGGGTTTAGGGGAACTGTTCCAAATAGTTAGCTTTATCTGTTCAGTGTTCTGCAGTTGTGAGTGTCATAAGAAAATAAAAATTATTGATGTTAACTTAATGATGTTGCAATTTTTATACTTGCGACAGAGTAGGAGTTCATTGATATATGTGTTTTACATACCAGACCCAGAGCATGAGCAGTATTTTCGTGCTGTACATAACTTGGACTTGAACCAGTGACCTAAAGGTAAAAGTCTGCTTCCCATTATTGGTCATATGATCCATGCAGCTTTGTATCTTTTACAAGTTTGATAAATCATGCGAGATTTTAACAAGACAAAGATGTTTCTTGGACTATATGCTGTACAGAATAATCCCTCATTTTCCAGATGTTTGTTTATTTTTGGCAACTGGACTTTATTAAAAAAAATTTGAAACACAAATGATTGTATATCACTTAATGACATTATTTTCCATAGGGTTTTTTGGAGGGAGGTGGGAGCCTGTAGTTAGGCAGGGAGTGGACTTGTATTTCATCTGGTACTTTAAGAAATATTCTTTGTGAAAAATCACAAAGCAGGAAGAACATTGTAGAGAAATACAATAAAGTGTGTTTCTCCTCGTCAATATCTACAAGTCTTCAAATAATAATCTGCCTTCCAAGACAGTTTTTATGCACGGCATAAGAAAAACTGAAGGGGCATCACATCACTTACCATTAGCCACCTATGTGGTTATCACATCACTTACCATTAGCCACCTATGTGGTTAATAGTTACCCTACTCTGTCTTTGGAATCAATCAAGAGATTTAGAGAATATCAGTGCAGATTAGTCCCAGAGCATAGCAAAGGACAGTGATATCTTTCCTAAGATTGCATGGAGTACCTACTTTTTTCCCTATCCTATATTTATCCAATGTGACTCCAATTTCCAATGAAAGATCTTAGTGAGCCTGGCCAATTCAGAGGCCCATTCAGACCAGGAAGTTACAAAAGTCAAGAATGCAGAAATCAGAACATATCAGTAAGTGATAAAATGCAATTGGTAAAATCCAACCTGCTACTTGCCATCCATAGGCTGGGCATTTAGTTATATTAGCATCACTTCACAGTCAGTGTGAATGAGACAAAACTTCTGAAAAGCAGCTCCAGACATTGGCTACAGAAATTCCTTTTAGGGTGGGCTCTTTAGATGTCTATATCTCACCACTGACAGTAAAATGGTGAGACAAACAAAAGGCTAGGAGAGGCTCAGGACTTTATTTTATGTGTCCTTTTTATGTGTCTATTTTATGTCTACATATTTTAGGATCAAAGCTGATGTATTACATGTGATAAGTTTAAATCTACAGAAGAATTCTGAAGTGTGTTGTGTTTCAGTGTTTCTTTTACTG